CATTTCCCAAATGCCTGAAATCCTGGGGCTGGGAAAGGCCTTTCATGTAGGTGACAGTACACCAGTTACTTAAGCTATCACTACTACCTTCCAGGATCTGCATTAGCAGGTAGCTAGAATCAGAAGTGGAGCTAGGTCATGTACACAGACATTTTGATATGGGATGGGTTATCCCCAGTGGCATCTTAACCTCTAGATCAAAAGTCTTTTTGTGTTTGGCATATTTCTGTGCCTTAATATTATAGGTGACTAGAAATACAGTATCCCCTTTTAAAAGGGAGATAATTTTCCCTAAAGAATAGGAAGGTTAAATCCAGGGATAGGAAAATAACAGTAAAAGACCAGGTTGTTCTTTGTAGTAAGCTGGCAAAGAGTCTGAAGAGATTTCTACAGAGAAATTTTCAAAACCACAGAAATTACATTGGCAAGAAGGGTTGGTTGCGGTAAGGTATGTTATTAATAAAGTTGTGTTTAGCAAATGATGTTTTTCAAATTAAGCTTTTTTATATAGCATGTGTATCTGACAATTATCCAGTGACACTGTTTTTGTGTAGCAAATACACAGCTTCTAGTGTTTTTGTATTTTTCATCTGGCCTTCCTAGCATCTTTTTGCCTGGAAGTACCAAACACTGCTAACTACACGAATTATATTATCACTACCAGAAAATCATTATCACATATCTGTGCAAGGCTAAGGCTGCAAAGCTAAGAGGGATGGGGAGATCCTTAGGTAAAGGTCATTCAAGGACCTTTGTCTCTTTGTCAAGGAGTAAATAAAATATGCGCACTTGGGAAGAAGAGCAAGTCACATACAAAGGAAAATCAAGCTTCTCTCAGACTCTGCACAGGAACCCACAATTTCTGAGGTGTGTGAAACAAGGCCTGGGTAATTACCCAAGGCATACTCTCCCAGCTGCCTCTCATCTCAAAAGGAAATAGGACATTGTTATGTACATCAATGAGAATACAAAATACACCTCTCAAAACCAATAAAATAATTAGATAGCAAAATGGAATACATACAGAATCTGAATTTACCTAAAATGCTCAGGAATCAGGAACTTTAGGGAAAAAAAAAGTGGAACTTAGTGTTTTAACCCATGTAAATGCACACCTTGTTTCTTTCTTTCTTTCTTTCTTTCTTTCTTTCTTTCTTTCTTTCTTTCTTTCTTTCTTTCTTTCTTCCTTTCTTTTTTGCACACCTTGTTTCTTTAATGACAGCAATATTTTCATGTTAACTTTACATAACTCTGTATTACTCTTTCAGAAAATATTGTACCTGTGATTCAAAATTATTCCCTAAAATTGATATAAAATTTTAGTTTTGTTTCTTTCTTTCATCTGAATGTAAGATAATTTTAAGAATGTATTTATATAAAGGGAACAGATTTCATGAATTTTAAGAACATAAGTTACATTCTACTATCCCTCCCTCCAACCCAACTAAATTTTTTAAAATTTCTAAAAAATTTATTCTACTTACTTGAAAAACTAAGAGAGACAGAAAAAGAGAGCTCTACAGATATAGAGACACACCCTAGATGCCCTCAAGGGCTGGGGCTGGGCCAGGCCCAAGTTGGGAACTGGGAAATCAATCCAAGTCTTTCACGCACATGGCAGGGGAGCAACCATTTGAGCCATTACCTGCTCATCTCAGGATGTGCAATATCAGGAAGCTGCTATGAGGAACTAAACCAGTCATCTGAACAGAGAGAGAGAGAGAGAGAGAGAGAGACCGTAATGCCGTTTCAAAACTGCTAACAGTATAAAGCTGTTTTTCTAGCCTTTTTCTTTTTTCTTTTGGTTTCATAATTGAACTTAGGCATATAAGTTATGTCTCTGTTATTTCTCACCAAATATTTAACCTTACTTCCTTCAGTGTGATTTGATATTGGTTCATATAAATCTTTTTCTTTTGACTTGTGCTGCTTGTTCATTTTTAGTATTAAGCCCATGGCATTTCTACAACAAAATAAGTTTTTCATGCATTATTTTTATTTTAAATGTATATCAGTAAAGTCCAAAATAGAATTTTATGTTTTTACAAATGATATTAAGTACAGTTAATTGAACCTAGGTAGTTTGGAAAATAAAGCTTGTCTATCTTTCTGATTTGTAAAAATATCTCTTTCGAGGCCAGTGTTGTGGGATAGCAGATAAAGCAGCACCTGTGGTGCTGGCATCCCATAGGGGTGCCACTTGTGTCCTGGCTGCTCCACTTGAAATCTGGCTCCCTGCTAATGACCTGGGAAAAACAGTGGAAAATGTTTCATGTACTTGAGCCCCTACCACCTATGTGGGATCTGAAAGAGGCTCTTTGCTCCCGATTTGGCATGGTCCAGCCCTGACCACTGTGGTCATCTTAGCAGTGAACCAGTGGATGGAAGACCTCTCTGTCTCTGTCTCTCCTTCTCTCTGTGTAACTCTTTAAAATAAACAAACAAATCTTTTAAAAACATATCTATTTAGTTCAATCTCTTACTCTGTTGGTGTCACACACTTATGTAGTAAATGGTTGTCCGGCAAAATCTCAAGTGCTTTGTGCCCCATCCTGCTATGTTACAACTTAACTAGAAGGAAAGATTTGGTCACAAATGGACTCACAGAAGAGCTCTGCCTGTCTCTGCCATGTTATTATTTCTACAGTTATCATTTTGAATTTCATAAGTGAAAACAATACTTTAGAAATGCATTTCTAGGTGTCTTCATCAAAGACTTCTTTACTTTCTTTCCAGTTTTGTAATGACTATTGTAAAATTTTACTGTATTTGAAACTGCAAAATTTAACTTTTATGACAATTCTACAAATAGATTTGGTCATTTGGTGGCCTTCTCTGGTTTATATAACACTTTTATTTCTTAAGTGATGAATAAGGACAAAAGTCCTTATTCCAAAGATATAGGGAGGGTAAGAGGTGGTAAGACACTGCCCGGGATTCTGGGTAAGGTGGAGGACTTTTACTGCTAATAGTATCTTGCATTTATAGGACACTAAGATCCATTATTAAAATCTTCATAGATAATATCGTTTCTACTCACAATAATTCTGATAAATTTGTTTATAAAGATGAAGTCCTGAGGTTTTAAGTAAATTATGTAATGTCACAGGTTAGTGAGTGCCAGTATCATGAATTAAACCCAAGAAGTCTGACTCCAGAATTGACTTATATCGCTCATCTGACACATCACCTGGTGAACATCCTAAGTAATAAATAGCCTTATTCCTATTTTCTTAATGGGGTGGAATGAGCCTATGAAAAGCATTACCATGAAGAACATACTCACTAAGCCCAATATTATGAACATCCATGAAAACTTGGGCTTTTTCCAAATAGGAAGGTGTTTACTGATCAGTGGTAGATGCACACACTTAATGTTTACTTTGGTGCAGCTGCTCTTTGAAGAGCATGTGTGGAGGTGGGAAGAGTTTGCAATGAAATAAATGAAATAAATAGAAAAGCTAGGGAAGCAAATGTTAGATGTGGATCTTCCTTTGTGGTCATATTGGCAATGTTCTTAATGTTCTCAGAATTATAAGGATAGATGTTCTTACAACTTCACGGGTGGCAAGGAAGGATGCAGACAGGGGGATAAATATAAATCTAATCCATAAAAATATTAACAATCAGCACTTTGCCAGCGTGAATTAAGAAATAATAGTCTCTGTAAAGAACAGGGCATGGATATTTGTTTTTACTGTGCTGCATTTATGATCATTACGAGGCAATGCAACTGACATTTCTGTGGCCAACAGCATTTGTAAAATTGACAGTTTTATAGGGAAGATTGTGAGCAGCTATAAAAATATTATTTCCCTATAGATAAAACTTAATTCCTGTTTCCATCAACCCATGAAACATGGTCTAGGAGTTGACCAGAGTAGTCAAGGGTGATGTAGTCCAGAACCTCATGTTGGCTGTTCAGTTCTTAATGTTATGCAAAGATCGGTCTATGTTTTCTTTGATTCCTAGTTTGTGACAATGGTTAAAAACTTAGAGATAATTCATTCTTTCTTTCTGTCCTTTAGCAAACCATGTATATTTTATCTGTAGCAATGAAGGTTTAAATGCAGGAATCCTACTGAATTCTAGTGATTGGCACAATGAAAGCATTTTAGTGGGCACTATGAAGGTAAAATTCAGAATACCACAGTTTAGTTTCTGGAAAAAACTATCTTAAAGACCAGCACAATATGTTTTTTATATATCTGCCTTATTATTATGGTCATCAACGATGTGTTTTACATATATAAATTTACCTTCTGAGATAAAAAAAATTCTGAAAAAGTTTCAAGTATGCTACTCTCTGTATTCTCTATCTTATCTGAGATGATTAAAGAAAACAATCTTATAAGGAATCTACGAGTAGAAGAAAGAAAGTTTTCATAGAGTAAACAAATATGTGTCTGTGTTAGGAAAGCATGACTTTACTTTTGTTATCTGAAAAAATAGGGTCAAATGATAAATGCAAAAAAGTCACTAGAGTTCCTCAAAGTGGATAATATAAAGAAAGAGAGAAACAAGAAGAGAGGAATCTGTATCATTGTATTAAATAAGATTGTATTTATTCATTAATTCAGTTTAAAATGTATATTAAATCCTACTATGTATTAAGTATATTTCAGATATTTACAATATATCAATTGGATAAAAAAGATGAAAATTACAATCTCTGTGGTGCTTAAATGTTAGAAAGAAGAGACAGAAAATAATAATAAATATTAATAAGGAATTGCTTAGTGATATAAGTAAAACAGAGCAAGGCAAGCACATATAGAAAGATTATAAAATTAAGTACCTGGATGTCAAGTTTGCATTGTGTGAAGAAGTACTAAGTGAATAAAACATTGGAGAATAGCATCCATTGTATGATGCCACTTATCTAAGAAAAGGGGATGCAAACATACACACATACACTTATTTGTTTATATTAAAATACAATAAGGTGGGTGTTTAGCCTAGTTATTATGATGTCACTTAGGATACCTATGTTCTATATCAGAATGGCTGGATCTGGTGCCCAGCTCTATCCCATCTCCAGCTTTCTGTTGGTGTGGACCCTGGAGGGCAGTGGTTATGACTTGAATGATTGAGTTTTACCACACATGTAGAACTGGATTGGATTTCTACCTCCTGGCACTGAGCCTTACCCAGCCACAGACTTTGTGAGCATTTGGAGAGGTGAGCCATTTGATCAGATATATCCCCCACCTTCTATCTTTGTCTCTCTCTGCTTCTATATTAAAATAAAATATAACAGAAATTTGAACCATAATTTTTGAAGAGTAGTTAATATAAAGAAAGGTGGAATAGCATAGTAGTACAACAACAGAGCCCAATACTTTTATATATCTTGCTTTTTAGATTTGAGTTTGGGACCTTATAAACATTTTTGCAATTATAAAATATAATCCTATTTTTAAAATAAGCCTTAAATTATAAATACAATAAAACTAATAAGCCTAAGTTATATCCAGTTGGTAACAAAACTACAGTAAAAAAGCAATTATTTCAAGTGATTTACTATTGTTATACATTTGTATATCACTAGTGGAAAAAATAGGACTGCAAACATGCTTTTCTATGATGATTATTGGAGGTAGTATTGGAATTCTTATTCTGAAAGTGTTTTTTTTTTTTTTTTTTTTTTTTGTACAAAGCTAATGGGTAGCTATGTTGTTATCTGTGAGACTAGGGTTTTAGCGTGGGATAAAATAGATGCAGCTATAAGATTAATGAGGCTAAGTAAAAAAATTGAAATAATGAATTCACAAGAAAGTCATTAAAAAAAAAAACTGATGATGTATTTTATCCTTAAAAATACAGATACTTGGCTGGTGCCGTGGCTTACTAACTAATCCTCCGCCTGCGGCGCCGGCACCCTGGGTTCTAGTCCCGGTTGGGGCGCTGGATTCTGTCCTGGGTGCTCCTCTTCCAGTCCAGCTCTCTAATGTGGAGGATGGCCCAAGTCCTTGGGCCTTGCACCCGCATGGGAGACCAGGAGGAAGCACCTGGCTCCTGGCTTCAGATCAGCGCAGCACACCGGCCATAGCGGCCTTATGGGGGGTGAACCAACATAAGGAAGACCTTTCTCTCTGTCTCTCTATCTCAATTTCTAACTCTGCCTGTCAAAAAAAAAAATACAGATACTTTATTATGATCATCAGAAAAAGCATAGACATAATATAATAATAGTAATGAATGCAGGAACTGTCCAGCATGAGGGAAGCACCAATGGGTGTAGATGTAAAGGTTATAAATAACAAAGGTAAAATGAGAGGTTATTTTTTATTGACACTTTGATGAAAATATCACTTGATTTGGGGATTGCCATGAACTCAGACCTTAAAATTGAGTTGTAAACAACAAATACAATGAAGCAAAGCAAAAAGGAAAACAAAGACTTTTTCCCAAGTCTAATAGTACCACTTTTTTAAAAGATTTATTTTATTTATTTGAAAGGCAGAGTTACAGAGAGAAAAAGAGAGAGAGAGAGAGAGAGAGAGAGAGAGAGAGAGAGAGGTATTCCATTCTCTATTTCACATCCCAAATGGCCACAATGGCCAGGACTGGTTCAGTCCAAAATTGGGAGTCAGGAGCTTCTTCCAGGTCTCCCACATGGGCATAGGGGCCCAAGTACTTGATCCATCCTTTTCTGATTTTCCAGGCACATTAACAGGGAGCTGGATTGGAAGTGGGGCTGCCAGAACTTGAAGCATATCCTATATGGGATGCCAGTGCTGCAGGCAGCATGCAACGATGCCAGCCCCAATAATACCACTTCTTACTTGCTAACATCTCTTGTGGATGTATTAGATGGTATCCTGTTGGTGTCAGCAAATGTGAAACCGGTTATCCCTTTATACAGAGCTAAACATCAGTCTCAGTTTTGGAAAATGTCACTTAGAGAAAATCATTCTTGTCTAGTATAAAGTTGCAGTAATCAAAGAAAGAAGTCTTTGTTCATGGTTATCTTTCTTTTTTTAATTATTTTGATTGATGTGAAAAGACGTAGTGTGAGGAATAGTTTCTACCGTTTTGACATACTGGAAGAAAGGCATGTGAATTGTAGTTATGTCACCACTAAATTATTGCCATTGACTACAAACTAATGACACTTACTCAGTGAGAAAGAGAGAATTCAACTCTAATTCAGGTTTCTATAACTTAGTATTGTCTTACTTGATGCCAAAGCCTTTGCCCAGCCTGATGCAGTAGTACTGTAGAGAATCTCTATGTTAAAATCTCTCTGTCTTTATATGACCAAAACAGCTACTATAGTGAACTTTCTAATACAAAAAAATCTACTGGCTCTTTATTAAACTGAGTTTCTCCAGATATGGTTTGGCATTACACAAAACATCTTAATGGCACAGTAGGGTTAAAAAGATCTTTAAAAATTGAAATGTGATGAATTTGTCTCCAAATATTTTTTTTTTTGACAGGTAGAGTGATAGACAGTGAGAGAGAGAAACAGAGAGAAAGGTCCTCCTTCCATTGGTTCACTCCCAAAATGGTCACCATGACCGGCGCTGCACCGATCCAAAGCCAGGAGCCAGGTGTTTTTTCCTGGTCTCTCGTGTGGGTGCAGGGGCCCAAGCACTTGGGCCATCCTCCACTGCCCTCCCAGGCCACAGCAGAGAGCTGGACTGGAAGAGGAGCAACTGGGACTAGAACCCAGCGCCCATATGGGATGCTGGCACCACAGGCGGAGGATTAACCAAGTGAGCCATGGCGCTGGCCCTCCAAATATTTTAATTGCCCTAAATTTGTTTAAAGATATATATTGAATGCATATTTGGCATTCTAAAGTTTTAATAATCTCAATACCACAAAATACATATAATATATTATGCAGCTGTGAGAAAATCTAGCTAGGATATAATATGTTGCTCACCATCAATGGCTTTATTATTTGAAACACAAACTGAGTTAGAAATCCTATCTATTGAACTACAAAATACCCCCTGAAATTTTAATGTGTTCCAGCAAATAACACATTATATAACTGAAATTTTGATTGAAAATGTCAGTTGCCTAAATATTTAGCATGAAAGAAATCTAAAACAAAATTTGGATCATGTACAAAACAAAGGCACCTAGGTGAGGAGAAATCTAATGCTTTCACACAACTCAACTAGTTTGTCTCTCACAGAAATCAAATAAAAAAAAAATGAATCCTTCTTAGTTTTCACATTAACCTTGTCAAACTCAATCGTATCCTCTACATGGAGGAAAGGAGAAGGGAAGCCATGTAATCTTCATTAGAAGTAATATCATAGATCAACTATTATCTTGGACTCTTTGGAAACAATTTCCCTTCAGAAAGTATTCAGGCAGTTTCTCAGGGATGAGCAAGACATTTCAGGGGAAAATAGCCTTAATTTTAGCAAATGAAAGTGACTTGCTTCAGTCTAAAATAATTTGTTATGGAGTAACCTGGAGGCATCAAAGAAATAATTGTCCTCATAAATTTTCTGAGTTCTTGTTAAAAGGGTGTTCAGACATACTCTCTAAAGTAATGGCTCTTAACCTTTCATGGGGTCATCCTTTCAGAATCTCTTTAAATTTTGATATCATCTCAGAAATAACCATGCATATTTGTAAAAATACTGTATAAAATTTCAAGAGAGTGCATAAGTTCATTGAAATGCATCACAGACTCTACAGACACCCATGTTCTTTCTTTCTATCTTGCAGAGAAATCATACTAACTACTCAATGAGGATCATAAATCTTGAAGTTTTTGACTGCCTAACTTTGGTATCATCTTTGAACATTTACAAGTTCCTTGGTTACATTCTTATGAGCCAAGATCACTTTTTGTATGTTCTTGGTTGCATTATTATGCAAAATAAACTACAAAAGCTTTCCTGCAATAGTAACTCTATGGTTGTGATTTCCCATTGTCAATAAGATGCAGGAGACACAAACAAAAAGGTTTTAATTTAATACTCTAGTTAGTTGACTTTATAGAAGGATATAAAACAAAACAAAAAAAAACATAGAAATACAATGTCTTCATTTTATTATGAGGTTTGAAAGGTACTCAAAGATGTAGCTTCTTTTTATCTTCTCCCAGATGTGGGTCGAGGACAAAGATTTTCTGAATCACTGACTCATAAAAGTCCACGGTCCCTTTTCCCCTCAACTTTATGTGTTGTTATCATCAAAGGCTTGCATGACAACTCACATTTCCTACAACACAGCGCAGTACCACACAACAAAGGAGGCATCAACCACACAACAAAGGAGGTATCAACAATGTTCTTTATTTTTCTTAACTACTGTTTCAAAGGAAAACTTCCCAATCAGCCCTGTATCTGAACAGACTTGATTTTACTTCTTTGTCTACACTGCTCTTTGACCTCTAATAGATTCTAATGTTAGACTGGCACCCTGGTACAGATCAGTACTAGAGTATCGGCCCAATTTTATAGAAGTTTACAATGCAATGCAGATTATGAAATAGCAGATAATTGTAGCAAAATATAGAATGCAATCAGTGACATAAGAGATGTCTAAATCAAATGCATCTTTTTTATTCTGCTGAGATTGAGTAGACATCATTAAATTTTCTTGGAGAAGATAGCATTTAAATGGAGCTCATAAAAGATACTAAACATGTCTGATTTTTATGCCACAATGAACAAATATAAGGAGCTATAACTTCTTAATATAAACCTTGTTTTTCATTTATTAAGGTTGAAATAAATTAGTCCCACAAAATATCTTCAAAATTTGTCTGATCTATTGAAAAAGTATTCAATTGAATGACTTTTAATGTCTTCAGGATGTGCTAGATATGACATATTGAAGTATGCTCAGCTTTATGTAAGAATACTGAAAATAGTGAGTATTAAACAGTATGTTAAGTGATTTATTCATGTCTTAATTATTCCAACTTCAAAATAATTGTATGGAGTTTATGTTATTTCCATTTAAAATGGAGAACTTGAGACCCAGGGCAGTTAAGCAACCCATCAAATCAAATCACTCATTTATGGTAACTAATAGAGCCAGAATGCTAATCAGTGTTTAACTGAATTTGATTAAAAGGAAAATTTCCCTACCTGTTATGGAACCATCAAGACACATTATTCTTCACTTTGATTATGACCTTGTCTAAATAAGATCAGAGTTGGCGAACTCAAAAGGCTTCCATAACCTTGGCAGCTCAT